GCGCGCGTGTGGCTCTCCTCCTAGCCTCTTGCGCCTTGCATACCCTTCCTACAATGTGGCGTTATGCACCGGAGCGAGCCGATCTTGATCTCTCCCTCGCGCTCACGTCATCCTCAGATCACCCTCAAAATGCTGGAGGAGGCGGACTCTGACGCGGAGATAGCTTTCGTGGCCGAAATTAACGAGGCCGCGGCGGCGCGCGCGGCCGCGCTGCCGGCGCCCCCTGCGGCGGCCGCGGCAGGGGAGGCCGCGGAGGGGCGCAAGCGCAAGGCGCCGGAGACGGCCGACGCGGCAGGGGGTGTGCAGAAGGCGGCAAAGTCGGCGCCGGCGGCGGAGGAGGGCGGGGACAGGGAGGCGGCGGCAGCAAGTGCGGATGCGGGGGAGGGCGGCGGCGACGCCCAGATGGCGGAAGGCGGACAGGCGCAGCAGCAGGAGGGCGGCGAGGAGGAGCAGCAGCCGGCAGCAAAGGAGGAGCACGAACCCGGTGGGTGGCGATGGCGCCGACGGGGTTGTGCCCGGTGGTCGTCGGTTTCCGCTGCGCTGCAGCAGCCGCTCTGCTTCGTTTGCCGACCAGTTCACGACACCTGTCACCCGCTTTGCACCTCCCACCCCCAGCTTTCTGCTGTGTTGGTTGCATGCATGGGAGTTTGCCATGCCCATCGCTTTGCCCTCCTGTTCTTCTTGGCCACTGCACGCAGGCTGCCTGCTGTCGGTGCATTGGGAGTCGGCGCCGGAGGGCGCCACTGGCTTCAAGCTGCGGGGGGCGATGGGGCACCGGGACGCTCAGGTGTGTGCATGCGTGCGTGCCCGCGTCCGGGTTGCCGGCGCTCGCGTAGGCAGACGAAATCGCCATGGCAGCCTACGCCACGCCACCTGTTGGCTGTCATGCATCCATGCATGCATGCATGACTGCCTGCCTGCCTGCCTGCCTGCGCGGCCAGGCTCTTCTCAACGGCCCGCGCCGATTGGACCCACCCGTCCCCTTGCAGGTGCGCTTCGTGGAGTACGACACAGGCGCCACGTCAGCGATCGTGCGGTTCGAGACGGCGGCGGCGGCAAAGGCAGCGCTGGAGGCGTTCCAGGTGCGGCCGCCAGGCAGCCGCCGCTCCCATGCCCACAGCCGCGCCGCCGCGCAGCATCCCCAGGCCTCTCAGTTCCTCTGCCAGCCGCCGTGGCCGCCTGGCGCTGCGGCAAGCCCGCTCGGTCTGCCTGATTCGCTCCAATCACCCTCCCCCGCGTACCCATGACCGTGTGCTGTCGTAAGCGTCCTCCCGCCCACTCTGCGCACACAACTATTGACCAAAACACTACCTGCTTGCCCCAGGCCAAGCCGGAGGAGGAGCAGCACCTAGTGGGCGGCAAGGCCACGCTCCAACTAGTGGAGGGCGACGCCGAGAAGGAGTACTACTCACGCGCAGACAAGGCGGCCCGCGACAAGGCGGCAAAGGGCGGCGGCGGCGGCCGCGGCGGCGGGCGCGGGCGTGGATGAGGTTCCGCGGAGGGCGTCTCCGTGGGCTCGTCGTTCGCTGGACCCGTTGCTGTCTTTTGTGTTTCTAGCTGCACTCACTGCAGTCCTCATGGCTTCGGTGAAGTGATCTGCCTGTCAGTGGTGGTTACAGCGTTTGTGTTGCCCAGCCAACTACCTGACGCACTTGTCGTGGCGCTGTAACGCTCATGCGACAGTGGATGTGATGGCCAATATACAAAGGGCAGAATGCAGGGTGTAGGCCCGCAACACGGGCCATGCGGGCTCGGCTGGGGTGTTGGGTACAAGCAGGGCCAGCACGCGGCTGAGGAAAACAACACGATGCAGGAGTCAAAAGGGGTGCAGCCGGAGGGTGCCCTGGGGCTATCCCAGGGTCCGGCGGCGTTGGGGCCGTGAGGCGGGGCCGCCCAAGCAGGGGCTGGTGTGCGGCGCCCGCGGCTCGCCCGCCGAGCTGAAACTGCTGCTTTACAGCACCGCGTGCCCCCTCGGAACAGGGGCAGCGGACGCCAGGGGCGATGGTAGAGGTGGTGAACGGAGGCGTGAACTCAAGGAGGCGCCCGGGGCGCACGCCCCCCCTCGAGCCTGGTGACAGGCCCCTGGGCCGACCGCTTGTGGCCGACGCAGCAGGCCATAAGCACTGGCTGTGGTCAAAAGCTTGGAAAGACTATACATGTGGTTGGTACATACCGTACAACATGGAGCCCCGCGCGCTGCAGGAATCGGACTGCTTGTATCGATGTCAGCGCTGCGACCGTGGCCAGGCTGCCCGTCGTTGCAGCAAGGTACGCAGGGGAGGCCAGCGCCACAGCAGCGACGGCACCAGCCGGTCGAGCTCTGCGCGCGCCGCTGCCGAGTGAGCCCTCGCCTGCAATGCCGGCGCGCACGGTGCTGCTGCGCACTCACTCCGCGACCTGCGCCTGTGTGCGCCGCCTGACCAGCTTCAGCCGCTTCAGCTTGAGCTGCCGCCGCCGCCTCGCGCCGTCCGTGGTCGCTGGCGCTGCCCTGACGGCCGGCGCGGGCTCGGGCGTCGCGGGGCGTCGCAGCCGCGCCGAAGTGGCGGCCTCCTCGCCGCCCGCTGCCGCAGCATCGTGCTCGCCAGCCCCCAAGCCGCTGCCGTCGGCGCCAAAGCCTGGCACACGCTCGGCCACCGGCGAAAAGAGGCTCTCAGGGATGAGCTGGAAGCCTGCAAGAGCACGCGAAAACAGGTGAGCGTGTCGCACTCACAACGCTTTGCTGAGTAGGGGTTGAGCGCGCCAGCCCAGACAGACAGGCAGCCAGGACTTCCAATTGAGGGCAACACTCCCCCGCTCACCATGAGGCGTGAACTGAGGCACAAACTTGGTGCGGTGTGGCAGCATTGTGCGGACCATTTGGCAGTCGATGTGCGCTTGGCTCCGCCGCGGCGCGCGCCACTCCCAGGCGCTGTACCAGCGCCGCGCACGTCCCGCGGGCGGTGAAGCAATGCAATAGGATACGTCTGACACTCCGAGTGCAAACGCCGAGGCGAGGGAGGGGGCCGAGGGCGCGGTGGACGAGGGCCATGGTGCGACAACACGAAGGACACGCAAGGCCCTCATCTGGTCAAGCGGGGACAGTTTCAGTGGCAAGAAAAACCTCGAAGAGGAAGAGCCCCGCTGTTCAGCAAACGAGCCAGGCAAAGAAAAGATGCACGGGCGAGTCTCTGGTAGCTATATTACACGAGAAATCCAGCAATAACAATCAAGAGCTCCGACCAATCACATTGCCCCTTCTGAACGCGCCCAATGCGGAGTGTAGTACTGTACTAAGAGTGACACAACTGTGCCCCGTGACCCTCTGAGCAGACTGGGGTCACCTTGCGCCGAAAGGTGACACTGCCGCCGGCCGGGAAAGGTGACACTTGTGCCGGGGCGTCCGGGGC